AGCCTTTTTAAACTTTTGCATGGTAGAAACAGAAGCTGTTGTTCATATTAGTGACAAACAACAGTAACAACAGCTTTTTGACAAGTTAAAAGTTTCTTAAAATACATTAAAAATATTTAAAAATAAACTACAAAAAATAATTTGATAAAGTGCAAATTAAAATACAGCTGTATCTGCAACTGTATTTGATAATGTTTTGAACTTTTAAAATACTGCATGATAGAAACAGGAGCTGCACTTCATATTGGTGAAAAACTGGCCTTTTTTGATGGGTTACTTTCATTTTTGCATCTACTTTTCATTTAAAATAAATTTCCATTTTCGGCAAGTTTCCTCTTCTACATGTTAAAGTTGTTAAACATCTGAGTGGTGCACTGCTGCTACTAGTGGTGAGAAGGTGTATTGCACTTTATTCAAAATCAATGAGGTCCCACTGCCCTCTGCGGCCCAAAGTTCAAAACTGTTGTTCTTTTGAGGCCCTCAAGGTGCATGGCGCAGCTGCGGCCCATGACTTAAGAATCTCTGCTGTATGTCAATCGTAGTTCTTTAATGTTAGCATGAATAAAATCTAAACACTATAATGTCATACTGGAGTGTTCATAACAACTTACAATACGTACTGAACCTTGACAATGCAGTTGACTTTTCAGGTTTCCTTTTAAGAAAGAAAACATTTTTTTTAAATCCAGTCTGAACCGCTTGTTTTTCACAAGTTCTGGAAAGTCCAACTCCAGCAGCAGAACAGGAAAGCTGTGGGTTAGAAACAACACAGGCTGTATGACACTGAAAATCCAAGTTATGCTCCATGTTTTGAAGGATAGTTAAGGATTTAAACAAGCTCAAATATTACAGTAGATAATCTGTAGCATGTACACAGGAAAAGAAATGTTCTGCAAAGGCAATAATCAGTATGTCAGTAGTTGAAATGTCCTGTGTAAGTATCCCTAGTCTGCGTTAGTCCATTGGGTCGCAGTCATCCATTAGTCATAGAATTGGCCTTTAATAATGCATTACTTTAAATCTTAATAGAATTTAAATTTTCAGCTGTGCTTCACTTGTCTTCAGTTGGCCTCTAGGCAGCAGTAAAAATGGACTCTGACACAAAGTCTTCTGTCAGTCTTCGAGCCAAAACGGTTGGAAAAGCACACATCATACATAAATAAACACAAGCTGGACAGCTGAAACAGTCGGACCTGGCACTGTGAGGGCAGCGAGGGAGCAGAGGGGCAATTTAATGCTGAACTCTAGAGATTGTTCAGATTGCATCATGATTAAATCATGTGATCCATGTTTATCCCTTATGCTGTTCAGGTTCCTTTAAGTTTAGYGATTCATTGATCCGCATTTTTTCACTTCCAGTCCGATACCTAAATTTGGATATCGGCTGATATCGATACTTTTCCGATACCAAAGCTTTATTTGATTTATTATTATAATTTAATTATTATTTAATTGTAATTATTTAATATTATCATTATCATTATTGTTGTTTTTATACTGTATAACTTAAAACACAAAAGCAGTAATATTCGTAAACGTGTACAAATTTAGCAAACCATCCTCCACCTTTAAATAGAGGCTGTAGTTTCACATTCAYAAATCACCTCAAACACACTAAAACCGAGTTGTATAAAACAAAAGATTTATTGAGGTCCTCAGACTGACTGCTCGGGCCCTGGAGTGATACATAGAAGACCATAAACTCAACCATTACAACAAGTTTAGGTAGTAACCAGGTTTCTGGCAAAGTTCCTGGCATCCCTCCCCTCCCATCTGGTGCCCTCCTGTTGCCTGGTGACATGTCTCTTGGTGACATGTTTCTCGATCCCCTGTCTCATAGCAAACTTCATTTTTGATGCTGAAATGTGCAGCACAAATAAAGTTGAATTTGTTGGTCAGATTTGCAACTTTTAGCTTAAACTTAGTGCTTTCCTCGTTTTCACTCTTTGCCGTGTTATCTGGCTCTACTTTCATTTCAAAGGGGCAGATATAAGATTTTTTCTTCTTCTGCTACCTTTCATTTATGGTTTGTATTTTTCATTGTATATAGAATTTATGTCGTTTTTTAAAGAAATGAATAAACTATTACTACAATTACTACTACTTTCATTTCATTGAACAAATTGTGAAAGTATTTTCCCAAACATAAAAACATTTCTGGGTTAGAATAAGTTGTATTTTAAGGTCCTGTCACACTACAATATTTAAAACTACATGCCAGCTTGAGAAAATTTTGTTATGACTAAAATACTCTCAAGTTATACACTGTATTTTGGTCTAACCATTAGCATTACAATATGACAGTATTTATAGGTCCAAAAGAGGCTTCCTGTAGATTTTTATCTATTCCATCTTCAGAGTCGCCATCTTCATTGTTGGACAACATTTTCACAAGTTGCCACAAGTTGTTTTAAACGTTACAGTGTGACAGATAGATGGCAAGTTATCAGAATTATAAGAACATTTCCTTCCGCACCTGTTGGAAACTATTCAAGTAAAATGTCAGAACAGCACAAACAGACTTTGCTACGATAATTATTAGATTGTTGTCATAATTAACAGCTTTTGTTGTCTGTCCTGCATCCATCAGAGAGGAGTATGTCGCCCACCCACAGGGAGCCAAGACAAAGGGAGTCGCATGCTGTGACCTACATCTGACGGTACGTTACACAACAATACATTTATTTTTTTTGCACATTGACATCCAGTACATAAATAACTTAGAGACATCTCTGCCAGATGCATTTCACTAAATTTATTTTACACGTCCTCTAGGTCTAACTATAAGACTTAAAAGGTTGTGAAATATTGATAAGCTCTCCCCATTGTACAGTATTTTGTGTCACTGTGCATTTTTCTGTCTGTAGTTTCACCTGTTTCTTCTGCTGGTCTCTTCAGGACTCAGAGGATGATTTGTACTACAGTCTGAAGAAGAGGCCTTCCAAAGATGAAAACTGTATGGAGTCTGGAGTTTAGGAAGCACAAATCTCTTCTAATTGGAGGCGCTGAATGAAAATCAATGCTGGGTTTCTGTGTCCACCACTCAGTCATGCTGGGGATGAAGTTTACTATTCTTTATTTTGGAGACCAGTTTGGAGCTGTTAGAAACTGTAAAATATGCAAAACTTAGATGAGTTTTTCTCCCCCRGATGAGCTCCTTTGTATAAACAGTGCCCTTTTTGTATCAATGAGCAATAGATAAAGAGAAATCTCTATTTTTGAAGTTGTGGTGTGGATATTTTTTAGTATTTTGCTCACAAAGCGTTCCATAGTGGTTTGATCAGGAGCAAACTGGCCCCGCATGTACAAACACAAGACATCCAACATAAATTTTGTGTATATATATTTATATCTTTATGTCTCAGAGATGGTGTGTCTTTTTGTTTTTGGAAAGAATGTGGATATTTTTTGTTTAATTTATTGCAGCTGTATGAAATTGTCTTCAGTGGAATGTTTTTTTTTTGTTGGATCCTTGAGACTAGAATGGAAAATAAAGGGTTTGATTTAGAAAACTAGTTGGTGTTCTGTATATCTTTGTACTTGGACATACAGTACTCTTGTCATAATATTTTGGCTGTTATTGATGGATACAACCAAAGGTGAAATTGTGTTTTTGCCTACAAGTATATCAATTGTTTTTATTTATTTAATTTTTTTGTCTCAGCAAAAAAGCACAAGAAATACCAATTTAAAGAAGACATATGTTTTTTAATCCTTTTTCCACTTTGAAATCATTCAGTTGGGGGAACTTCAATGCTTTGGTCTGAATTCTTCCCTATTTTAACTTTACCAGCCCTGCTTTCACCTCATTTCTGAAGCGTCTCAAAGCATCTTGTTTTGATGTTGTTCCTTTAAAATCCAAATGAGGCGCTTCACACCCCTCCAGCTTCCAGACCGGTTCGTTGTAGTTTGATAGAGGAGGTAATGTCTATGTAGCAACATAGAAACTTATTTTCAAATTGTTTAAAAAAAAAAACGGAAAACTTGTCCTTCCAGCCTTACATGTTGGAGCCAGAAGTTGTAGAAATTGTAGTTGGGAAGTCCAGAGAGTTCCATCCATCATCTTTTACCCACTTCTTCCTTTTAGGGTCACAGGTGCCCATATCCAACAGTCACAGTGCAAGAGTCTGGGTACATCCTGGAGAAGTCGCAAGTCCATCACAGAAACATACAAGACTAATTACCATTCACTCTCATCTAGGGACAAGTTAGAGTTACCAGTTAACCTGATAGTCATATGTGGGAGGAATCAATTCATGCAAGGAGAGAACATGAAAACTCTACACAGAAAAGTCCCTGGGCCGGGATTTGATCCAGCAACCTTCTTGCTGGCAGGCAACAGCTCTACCACCTGAGCCGTCATGGTTCCATAGACCACAACTAACTGATTTAAATGTGAAACGGAATGATTTAAAGTGTCTCCATTAATGAAGCATTTAAAAAGCAATTATTGACTGTCTCATTTTATTCATTTAAGCTAACAAAAAAAACTTAAACATTATGAATGTTACTGATATTGAGCTAATATTTGGTGTTGGTTACCCAACGTTATTCTAAACACTACTAGCATTACATGTTGCATGACTTGTTTGCTTAAATCAAGTGTTTTAACTGTTTGAGTCAACACTTTGTGAAACAGCATGAATCGCTGGACAACTTTCAGAAATTAATCTTTGAATAAACAACTACTACRACCCAACTAATCAACCTTGGCCAGCACAAATATAGCTACAACTTAATCTATGGTAATCTACAGATATTGAGCTGGTTTGATGTGGTAGTGAGTTATCAAACTCATCTCACAGRATTTCATGATACTGCACTGTTTTCAAGATTGACCAAAACTGCTGTAACTAGTTTTCCTCACAAGATCATTTTAAATTAAAACTCTGCCATGAAAAGCAGATGATTTTTAAAATAAATACATTTTTATTTAAGGAGTTTAAAAGGATGCACAGCAAGCTTTTGTTGATAAGAATTTCAGCAGTGTTTTTGCCTAAATAAATTATTAAAAAGAAGACTGACTTTTTTTTACAAGAGGATGAACATCCCTTAGAAAAAGAGGCTTTTAGTCGATGTAAAAAAAAGCAAATTGGATTTTTTTCTTCATTTGTAAGCAGATAATGTGTTAATAAAGGAGAAAGCACARTTCTGTGTTTGTTCTGCTGCGCAAACAAATTTATGAATGAGCGTCTTTTTTCCTGTTCACTAATGTTTTTGAAGCTGAGTCCCAGCTCCTGTAGCTTCACAGCTGTAGGTGCAGAATCTAATAAACAAGCACAAATGAAACTTTGCAGCACAACTCAATTCCTCATTCTGTCTCAATCCTTCTGCTTCTCAGTCAGCTCACTCATGCCCTCAAGGTTTTAACAATTCACACACTGCCACGGAGAAACAATTATTATTCCTGCTTCGTCTGAACTACCATGGCAACAGCTTACTTTTGTCAGGCAGTTAAAAAAAATAAAAAATCAAACAAAATGATTGAAAAAGGGAAAAGACTCAAATGCTTTTTGATTATCTGAATAGAGTAGGTTTTAGAGAAGGTCAAATGTTTTAGTCTGAAAAGATGTCCAGGACTGTTATTAATGTCAAATGAAATTGCTTAAATAGAAAAAAAAAAACACTTTCTTTTCTGGTGTAGATCTGTGCTACATCTGTTTGTTTTTTTTTTTTTTTACCATTTTTAAACCACCACTTAAGAAAAAATCTTGACAAAAAGTATGTTTTATCAGCCTGAAGTCTGCTGATGACTTTGATTGGAAAGATGATCTCTCCAAGTTGCAGATTTGTAATTTTTGCCTTTTTAATCTTTGGCTTTTATGTTAATTTCCAGTTTTAAATAATACCCAAGTGTCAGCTATTCTTAAACACTGATTGGAATATTTTCCCAATCAAGATTAGGAAAAAGCCAGACCCAACATATTTGAAACTTTGTCCATCATCACCATAAGGGGAAAAAGAATTAGACTGAATTTTTATGCATTGCATAAAAACTAAGCCCCAATTTGCACTGCGTCCACTTCGCCACACTCTGCACTGACCTCCTCAGTAAAAATGCACCCATTGTAATAACAGCATTTATAATGCCTCCACAGGCCGGCGTATACACGGCCATCCGCAAAAATTGGATTTAATCTTGTTTTTGCCAGTTGGCGAAGCAGTTAAATCTACTAAGAACACAATGCACCAACAGGAAAAGGAATGAGCACATCCTTATTTTCTAAATAATTCACCAAAGGCTGGCTATAGTTTTTAAAAATCCTAGTTATAATAAAACTATATAGGGTGTATTTATATACAGTGGTTTGCAAAAGTATTCATACCCCTTGAACTTTTCCATATTTTGTCACATTACAACCACAAACATAAATATATTTCA